GTCAAGGTCACATTGACCTCTTAGGTAAAAACGGTTTCCGATCAATAACGTAAGAACCCTTAGGCATAGGAACTTCAAACTTGGTATGGTGATTGGTCATGACCAGCAGATGACCCCTATTGATATTGGGGTTTAGGGGTCAAAGGCCAAGGTCACGTTGACCTTGTAGGATAAAATGCTTTCAAATCAATAACTTAAGAACCCTTAGGCCTAGGAACTTCAAATTTGGTATGGTGATTGGTCATGACCAGCATATGACCTATTGATTTTGGGGTCAAGGGGTCAAAGGTCAAGGTCACATTGACCTTGTAGGTAAAAACGGTTTCCGATCAATTTACTAAAAACGCTTAGGCCTAGGAACTTCAAACTTTGTATGATGATTAGTCGTGACCAGCAGATGACCCCTATTGAGTTTTGGGTCAAGGGGTCAAAGGTCAACGTCACATTGACCTTGTAAGTAAAAACGGTTTCTGATCAATAACTTAAGAATGCTTAGGCCTAGGAACTTTAAACTTTGTATGGTGATTTGTCATGACCAGCAGATTATCCCTATTGATTTTGGGATTAAGGGGTCAAAGGTCAAGGTCACTTTGACATTGTAAGTAAAAACGGTTTCTGATCAATAACTAAAGAACGCTTCGACCTAGGAACTTCAAACTTGGCATGGTGATTGGTCATGATCAGCAGATGACCCCTATTGATTTTGGGGTCAAAGGTCAAGTTCACATTGACCTTGTGTGTTAAAACAGTTTCCGATCAATAACTAAAGAACCCTTAGGCCTAGGAACTTCAAACTTGGTATGGTGATTGGTCATGACCAGCAGATGACCTATTGATTTTGGGGTCAAGGGTTCAAAGGTCAAGGTCACATTGAACATGAAGGTAAAAACGGTTTCCGATCAATTAACTAAAAACGCTTAGGCCTAGGAACTTCAAACTTTGTATGATGATTGGTCGTGACCAGCAGATGACCCCTATTGAGTTTTGGGTCAAGGGGTGAAAGGTTAAGGTCATGACCAGTAGATACTTGATAACCCTTATTAATTGTTTGATCACTTGGTCAGAAGTCATGCATAATAACCTTATCACATGACTTATTGGCTGCTGATAGGGGGCATACATGTTTTACAAACATATCTTGTTCACTTGTATCTGGATAAAAAATGTTTTAAATCGAAATATAATGCTATACCTCTGATACAGAAGTGTAACTTTATCATAGATGTAATACGTTATATAACTCGTAATATACAATATGGACAAAACTACATTAATTAGCTCCCTTGCGAAATCTAATATAGTATATATAGTTAGATATCGGTGTTTATGACGTATGTATAGATAACTTTATTGCACGTGACACAAAAATGTATGTGAAATTCAACATGTTCGTAACTCAATATTAAACTTAAGAAATAACATCGGCCTGAGAGGTGTATATCGGCTATTTAACACCGGTTTTGAGTTTTGATGCGTAGGAATTGACCACGAAGGCCGTAGGCCTGAGTGGTTAATTTTGTCGCATCAAAACGACAAAACCGGTGTTAAATAGCCGATATACACCTCTCAGACCGATGTTATATCGATTCTAACACGATAAAATAATAAAAATCACAAAATGTTATTTTTCAAGCGGAAATAACTTCCGGTGCCGATTTTCGTATATATAACGCTGTTCGATTTTCGCACCCTACTGTTGCGAAGATATAGAAATAATCAAACAAAAGAAATAATAAGAAAAACACGTTATTTTATCAAGTTTTCAACAATAAAAACTTACGTCGTATTGTGTTTACATCAGTGCCCCATTTATCATTCTTGTATGTATGAAATAACGTCAGCTTGTTTATGAATGAGTTGCTTACTTAGGATGACGTCATTACGCTGCTTACGGATTGGCGCCGTTTTATCAAAATATTTATTAACTGATATGAATCTAATATGTGGCGTTAGTGTATGTGTGATATTATTTCGGTATTGTATGAAAAGAAAACATTACACGAACTGAAAATATAAATAAAAATGCTTTTTATTGTTGCTTTAAAATGCTTTGTAAACTATACAATCGAGGGTGAAAACATAACAGCGCATATACAAGTAGTCCCTAACCGGTGTTTATTGGCAGTTTAACACCAGTTTTTTTCCTTCTTTGTCTATAGTGGCAAAATCACGTGAGTGTTAGAATATGTAATATATGTTAAACTGATTATGTCAAATCCTATACTGAAGGAAACAAAATACATTAAACTGTTCACCTTCAAGAAATTTGCAGATTATCCATTGATTTTGTGATTGTATATATGTATGTATGAATGAATGTATTATGTAATTGACTATGTACTTTGTTTACGTCAAAATAAACTTTCTGTTCTGTTCTGTTCCTCAATGTCAAGGACACACTCAAACGTCCAATGTTAAAACTTTTATGTCCCTCTTTAACTAATTGACACTTCAAAACTTTTAAAATTTAATCCCCCTCCGCACAGCGGGGAGGGAATTATAGCAATTGCATTCGTCTGTCAGTCCGTCCATCTTTCTTCTGTCTGTCCGTCTATCCGTCAGTAACACTTTCGTGTCCGCTCCATGATTTTCAAACCGCTGAAAAGTTTTTGAAATAGCTTGACACAAGGGATCATTATTATGAGACGATGAGCAGAGCCCAATTATTGGGATGATACCCCAAGGTCATGGACACACTTAATGGTAAACAAAGTTTCATGCAGCTGATTTTTTTTAATTACTTGGCACATTAGTGATCACCATTATGAGACGAAGTGCAGACCGCGAAAATTAGGTTGTTAACCCCAAGGTCACACTTTCAGATCAAACATAAAGGTCAGGAGTTAAAAAGTCTACATTTTATGTCCGCTCCATAACATTTAAACCTCAGAAATGTTTTTAAGATAACTTAACAGTAAATGATCATCATGATGACACGATAAGCAGAACCCAACATTCAGGTTGCTTCCCCTAAGGTCAAGGTTAAATGTTCTCCATAACCTTTTGACTTTGTGGAAGATTTAAAATGATTTGGCACAAATATTTACTATCATGAGGCTTAGTGTTTATAATATTGAGGTGATGATTGGTTAAAAGTCAAGAATTGCTCATTCATGTCCGTTGCGGAAGTGAATTTAGCTGTCTTTCAGACTGTCTTGTTTGAAAATTGTAATAAGATCTCAAATATGAAAAGGCTTTGAAAAATAGAAATAATAGCATTTCGGTGTGTTAATGGGCCTTCAATATATCTGTCATCTTATACACTTGTCAATTTGATAAACACTTAGATCTGTAGAATATTTATAAATAATTCATCTAGAGAAAACAACAATTTGCAAAAAAAAATAGATATTTTTATTACATCGATGATTACAAAACATATTTACATTCTCACTGAATTTGCACATGCAAGATTCAATTACATTGTGTATCCAATGTAACTAATTACTTGTTCAAAACTTAACTCACTATAAAAAAAGTATGATCAGTTTTAATATAGTCAATCTATTTAAATAAACCAACTTTAATTAAAATGAGCATAATTAGCAAGATTCACAAAGAATTAAAACTTTATCTCCATTTTTTTAATATTATCTTTATTTAGAATATAAATTGATAACATATTGGACTATATAATATTATTTTGTTACAAAATTGACACATTTTGCTCTAAAAATTTGTTCATTTAAAGCAGCATAATTATTTTACTCCAAAATACATAATGTTTTTCAAAGGAAAAAGGGGTTAGCAATTGTTTGCATGTCCCCATATTAAAAACAGATTTTCCGTCATCGCGTTTTGAATGGTTTTTGTTGTTTCCTTATGGCATATAAAGTGAGCATAACATTCATATTAAAATGATATTCAATATTGTTTCAGAGTTCTCGAAAAGGTAGGTTATATGTCTGAAAACGCAAATATCGGATAGCGGCATAAAATCAGAAAAATAACCTTTGTATTTAATGTTACAATGAAGAATTTGTTTATAACTCCCGCTTGTTCAGCAACTGCAATTATACAGCGCTGTCGTTTTCAACTGTGTTTGTAATTCAAAATAACATCATATTAGGAAATATGACATATGATTGGCGTTCATTGCACCGTATTCCATTGACAGCTGATTTCATTTTCAAACTTAATAGATCACTATTCAAATTGTGATATATTTGAGTTTAGATTTCAGACTAATGTTTTATGTTTGGTGGAGACTGTTTCTAAGGTAATTACTATAATACAGATGACGCAAAGCAAAACAATACCTTGCACGTTTGGATTTAATAACCTTTAAAAAATATTTTGACTGTTATTTCATAGTTACAGTAACAGTTGTGATATTGAATTTCATATTAAACACAGTTTAAGTTTTTTTATCTTATATATTACCTTTAAACCACTGAATATTTTTTATTCAACTACCAGTTTTATTAAATGATTGTACAAATGTAAACACATACATGTAATCATTACGTGCAAGGTGTAAAACATCTTTGTACGTGGGACGTCGGCTTTAAACTTGGGTTGGTCTCATATCTGGTTTTGTAATCAATTAAACAATGAATCACTTTATAACTGCAAAATCACTGCTTTAAATCATAATCAGGATATATCATGTAATGTTATACGAGAACTGTTACAAAGAATATAATGCAATATTGACGACAATAAAAAGGAAATGATGATGATGATGATGATGAACATAATGATAATGATTACAATATTTGAAAAGAAGAAAGTTCTTAAGTTGACGTCAAACTGTAATAACAAACGTAAAAGCACAATCAAATGAGACTGAAGAATATGCTCAAGACTGTACAATTGTAAAATGAAAATGTGCATGCTAAATGAAATTAAATCGTTGCAAAATGTTGAATACAACGTATATTCAAATTGATTCTTGTCCTGTGTAGATAAAATGTTCTACAAATATTATTAGATAAAATAAGTTTATATCAAACAAAAGATTTTGCTATCAATTTTTGGACTTAATGTAGCATATATATTTAATTTAGTAAAGCAGATTTGATTTTTTCTGGGAGGAGGTCAAATTCTTCTCCACAGTCTAAATGTTCATATTTGTCCCGTAGTATTGAGCTGATGTTCGTGTTGTTCATTTTAAGTCCGAATCGTTCAGCTATTCTTAAATATTTCAAACATTTCGCTTCATTTTCAAAATCCCTCGTGTGCAATTTTCCCTCAAGATTAAAAATTACTTCTTCTTCACAAAAGATACCTTTATTTAATGTTTTGACATTAAAGTCCTTTTTATCAGCCTCATTCAGCTCATGTCTTCTCAGAGCCAGCTCTATAATCTTGTAATGACTCCCATCTGATATTTGGTGTATGATTCTTGCTTCTTTGAACTGCTTAAGAGTATTCTCTGAAGCAAGATAAATGCACCTTTCCTTCAGATATTCTAAGTTATACATTTCAGACAACTGAATATGCCGATACAATTGCTCCACATCCCTTGTGTGAATATTCTCTACTGTTTGCGTAAGTATATTTTGGCAACACTTCATGACATTTCTAATGTCATATTCATGGGCCAAAGGAAGAAGCATGTAGACGTTTTGTTCTGTAAAAAGTAGGTATTTCTAATTAGATTTATGATGTACAACAAGGCTACATTGGGAGAAATGATTTACAGAGTGCATTATTTAGCTCACCTGCAAAAAAGTGACATGGTGAGATTTTGTGACCGTTTTTCGTCCGTCTACCTTCGGTAAACTTTTACTTTAAAAACGACATCTCCTCATAAACCGCTAAGCCATTTTCATATAAACTTCGCAAGAATGTTTCTTTGGCGGTCTTAAAAAAATGTTCAAAGAATTTAATTCCTTGCAGAAAAAAAATCAAACAAAACCCCAAAGAGCTAGAGCTAAAATATTTGGCATCAAATATCTATTAGTGAAGTTTTTTTTTATTCAAATAAAAGCGCTGGGGTCAAAATTTGCCCCGCTCAGGGGAGTCATTGATTTTCCTTATATGTTTATAGTAAAAACTTAAGAATCTTCTAAGAGCTAGAGTTTAGATATTTAGCATGAATCATCTTCTGGTAAGTGTTTTGTTCAAATAAAGGCCCTGGGATGAAAATTGGCCCCGCCCGAGGGGGTTATTGATTTGCCTTACATGTCTATTGTAAAAACTTAAAAATCGTCTTAAAAAACAAAAGAGCTAGAGCTTAGTTTATTAAGCATGAAGCATCTTAATGTTATGAGCTGAAGCAAATTGTACATAATTTTTTTCTAATTCTATGTATTTCACCCTCTTAATGTGTGACCCCAAACCACCTCCCTAATGCATAACCTCTGCTTTGAAAGGTGATCAAATAGGCTAGAATTACTGTCGTCTGCATTGAAACTGTGGGCCATGGGTTCAAACCCTAAAAGGGAAATTTTCTTATTATACTCTTTTACTTACATTATTCATGTTTTTCTCAGATCCATCTTGTAAAGAAAAATGGGTTTTATTTTAATTATATGATTATTATAGGTAGTTATCGGGTAAATAATGCCAAAGTTAATAACATAACAAATATGGTACCTGATATTTTCATAGTCTAATAAACGGAAAAAAGTATTTGTATGTAACAAGAGTAGCCAATATAATAATTAAGGTAAACTTTGAAAACAAATTTTGTTACATTTTAGGAATATTTTGAATAAGGCTGTCTAAGTAGGGGAATGTTTATAATGGTTAAACACTTTGAGTAGAAACAGTCAAGTTTGATTGTGTGATTTTTTAGCTGAATGCTATTATTTTTTTCTGAACAATGATCAGAAGCAAAACATTTTCTCAGCGATAAAATAATAGATTATTTAAGTTTCCTCATCTTTGAAAAAGAAGTCCTCTAACTGCCAAGCTTTAGTTCAGAAAAAAGGTGACATAACTCGTAAAGCGTATGGTACATTTTGTTCAAATATTGCTTTCAGTTGTTACCTCAAAGCATATAAATGACCTACGTTGCAAAGTTTACAATTCCAGATTGTGCTTATCATCAATATTTTGATTTTTGTCGTGATTTTATAAACAGAACAGCATGATACTATCGGACTAAAAGACAGTCATACCTGTCACTTTCTGCATCTTGTCAGGATAAATACATCTCAGGAATTCTTCGATGTCTTTATAACTTTTGCCAGGTAATGGAATTTCAGTCCCCGTTTTCTCCCGGAAGTAACCTTCTAACATGGTTCGAAACACGGGAGATGCTATGCACAGAACTGTCTTAGAAACAGGTATTTTATGGTTCTCTACAATCAGTGTTAGGTCTGCGATTCCATTTTCTTCACAAAATTCATTGTTGATCAACATCTGTTTATCCTGTAACTCTTCTTTTTCAGAACTGCTGCAGCTGATTTTTCTTTTTGGTGACATTCTGGAAACTAATACGATATCACAATGTTCGGCTGTATCTGAAAAGGGTAAAAGCATTTTGGGTAATTTTTGACGTTTGATAATTTATTTATAGTAAATGAAGACAGATGACATTCTATTTGTAACGATTACTGAAAGATATATATATTGTGCTTTGTTTGCACGTATAGATAATATTTTAGATATGAAAATATGTCCTACTTTTTAAAACATGCGATAGCAAAATGCTGGCATAAGTTAATAACGGATATATAAACTTACCCGTATTCTTCCTGTATGTTTAAGCTAAATTTGGATTTTCCGAAAATTCTAGTTTCGTTTTCAGCTAGTTTAGATATGATGCGTTTCTTTGTTTAATTTCATACATAATAAAGTCATTTTTTTATATGTCTGAATTCTGTATCAATATATATTACTATGAATAAATATGCATTTACTGAATAAAAGTACAGAATTTGTGAGATCTTATTATAAACATATTTAAACCATATATGACGTGTCAGTAGGCCAAATGTAACAACATTTTTTTTTTCTAATTTTGATATATATATATATATATATATATATATATATATATATATATATATATATATATATATATATAATATATATAATATATATATATATATAAACCACGTTTTTTTTAGCTCACATGAGTTAGCTCAGGGGTTGAATGTCCATCTTCTGTGGTCCGTCGTCCGTACACACTTGTTTGTTAACACTCTAGCGGTCATATTTTTGGTCATGGGTCATCTCGGATGAAAAACTAGGTCACAGGAGCTAAAAATAGAAAAACCTTGTTAACACTCTAGCGGTCACATTTTTGACTTAATCATCATCAAACTTGGTCAAGATGCTTGTCTGGGTCATATCGGATGAAAAACTAGGTCAAAGGAGCTTAAAAAAGAAAAACCTTGGTAACACTCTAGTAGTCACATTTTTGACTCATCAAACTTGGTCAGGATGCTTGTCTAAGTAATTGCTCAGAAAGTTTTGAACATTGGTTATCTCGGATGAAAAACTAGGTCACAGGAGCTAAATATAGAAGTCTTATGAACACTCTAGTGGCTACTGTTTTGATTAAATTATCCAAATATTCTGGAAATTGGTCTGAAAGTTTATTTTGATGTTTTCTAGGGCATGTTCGGATATGACTCATCTGGGTTCAAAAACTAGGCCACACCGCTTAAATAGGAAAGAAACCTTCTTAACACTCTAGCGGTCACATTTTTTACTCACCGTCATCAAACGTGGTCAGAATGCTTGTCTAGGTAATTGTTCTGATGAATTCGATGGGTCAGGTGAGCGATCTAGGGCCATCTTGGCCGTCTTGTTTCAAAATACAAATACAAGTATGTCCACAATAATCACATACCTGCTAAAATTTCTAAAAAGGGTATTTACTGCAAACTTTGAATGTTACATGATAGGTCATAAATTACCTAACTACAGTATATTTCACACTTTATAAATTTAAAGACAATGTCTCGAATTGTTTCATATAACACCAATAAGATATTTTTTCCACAGATAAAACAATAATAGAAATGTATGAGGGTTATTGCTTTTATTCAACTATTTAGTTAATACGGAATTTATTTTAGTTTGAATGTGTAGGTATGTATCAGCTCGAATCCTTTCAGGAGAAATGGGTATTTCTTGCTCAAGAGAAGAATGGCATGTCCCGGACGGCGTTTGAACCCACACAGATAAAGACTCTTAGCTTACGTTAGACGCATTGATTATTTACGTTTTTGTGTTCATAATTTGTTGATACAGCTTTGAATTAAAAGCTAACCTTTCCAGTTCGGTTCAGGAAAATTCTGTTTTCCGTTAAACAGAATTTTCGTATTAAGTCCAATTTCAATAAAACGTAAACCATCATATAGTCAATATCTGAGGACATAGAAACCGGTCGGTAATGTATAAAAATGAGAAATATAACTACCTGTCAGTTATTCTTTTCGTATATTAAATGCAAACACGTAAAATGTGCTGGGACTTAAAAGTAACAATACATATCAAGCAGTTACACTTTATTATAAAATACACTTTATGTACGTATATACATACACTTTTCACATGTTTTATAAAGTAAAGAAATGAAGCTAGTATTAAAATATATACAGTACACATACATTCTCTACAATATATCTAAATATATTATGTAGTCATTACATCGTTTCTAACAGAATGTTGTCATGACACATTAAAGATAGTTACATTGTAAACCCGATGTGTTGGTAAAAGCAATAAAAAGGCCAAGACCTATTTAGTGTTTTCACGTTTCTTGATTCTATAATATCGTTTTCGGTTGTTTTGTTATTAATATGAACTATCCTTGTTCCAAGACGTACATATTTGAATACCATCGTCTTTTTAGCTGGCCGTTCGCAAACTTTAACCTTGATTATAACTTTTTAAATTCTTGATGTATTGTCTTCATACTTGACTACAACAACCCTTTGGACAAGATCTTTTAATAGACCGGCTATCCTTGACTTTCAAGGTTAAATGTCTAAAGTTTGCTTGTTTTAGCAGTTTATGTTATCTATTAGTGGCTATTAATTTGTTATTCTTGAATGGATTGTCTTCAAACTTGAACATACTGTATTTTTAGGATAGACTTTCAAGTTATCAGAGATATTTTGACCATCATTCATAAATGACCTTGATCTTGAAGGTTAGATAAATGAAATTTCATTTTGTTTTTCATCTACTTATTTATTTTTATATTTTTATGTATGTATTTATTTATTTATTTATATTGTTTGCTTTAACTGTCTATTACTTTGTTTTTGAGAATGGATTGACTTCATATTATAACACAATATTCTCTAGGAAAAGACAAGCCTGTAAATTAAACTCAAACTAACCTTGATTCTTTTATGACTTTGATCTTGGAGGTTAAGTTATTGAATTCTCACTGTTTTTTTGTAATATTGACTTTAACTTGGTAATATTTTAATGGATTATCTTCATACTTTGAAAAAAATAACAATATGGACAAGACCTTCTAACAGGTTGAACTGCCCTTGATCTTGGGCTTTGAATGAATTTGAGTGGCCATATCAAATTTATGAACTTTGGTTAAATTGTAATTATTTTGTTATTTATAGCAATATGATGGTAAAAAAAGAAACAAGCAACAAACACGCAAATCATTTCATAGATTATGGGTATCATAATACAGTGATAATCAAAGTTTCCTTATAGATTAATTTAATGTTTTTCACTCGTTCTATATTTCACGACACATGCTTAACTCCTGTTTTGTAAAGCAGCTTTTACACTTTCTGGGAGAGAAGATCAAAATTCTCCATATCTTCTTCCTTGTCAAGAAGGATTTGTAACTTTTTCCAATAAGCTTGACTCAATGTTGTTTGAGGTATTTGTAGTAAATTTAAATCTTTCAATTATTCTCAATGCTTGGCAAACGTCGCTTGCCCTTCTTCCATTTGTAATTAATTTCCCATTTAAGTCACACTGCACCGGTTCCTCAGAATAAAATTGGAGTTTTGTCTTTGCTGTAAAAACCTTTTCGTCAGCTTTATTCAGCTCATGTCTTCTCGGGGCAAGCTCTATTATCTTACCGTGACTGGCATCTGTTATTTGGTACATTTCTTTTGCAGTTTTAAATTGCTTAAGAGTATGCTCTGAAGCTAGATAAATGCACTTCTCCTTCAATTCTTCTAGGCTATACATTTCAGAGAAGTGGATATGCCGATACAATTCTTCAACATTCTCTTTGTAATTTTTCCTAACTGTGCGCATGAGCACGTCTTGGCAACGTTTCATCATCCTCTCTACACTATATTCATGAGCCAAAGGGAGAATCATGTAGACGTTCCTTGCTGAAGTTAAATCAATTTACTAGTTAAGTTTCAAGGGATACACGATGTTGTTCAACAAACAGACAGTGGCATGATATTTAAAGGTATGATCCTCCGAATGGGCACTACAAAAAACTGACAACAAAGGAAAGTAAAGTGCCTTAAAGAACACCTGTATGATTTGCCGTATGGTTTACGAGTTTTGGATATTTTTGAACTTAAGCTTGGCTATCAGAAGGGCTCTTTTTAAGAAATGAGGAAACTCTAGATAATCTACAATAACATCATTATGATAAATGTTTTCCTATTGATTATTGTTTAAAAACCAAAATAATGATATTCAGGTAGCAAATCGCACATGTAAAATTATTGTTTCTTCGCAAAAAGTTTTAATATATATAAATAAAACCTTATCCTACCTATTATAAACACTTGTCTGTCTATTTTGATTACCCAATTAGTAAGCCTTATTAGAAATATCTATAATATTAATCGAAATAAGGCGCTGTTCTCAAAATTCTAATTTATCTTATAAGAATATTGCTTGCTCTTGCCAAATATCAAATACTTTTATTGTCCAGTTTTGATTTTATTAGACTTTGAAAATATCAGGGACCATTTTTGTTAATAAATTTAGAACTTATTATCCAATAAATACCTATAACAATTACATGATTATTAAAATTAAAAAAATCATTCCTGGAGTGTTTCTGAGAGAGATACATAAATAAAGTTAAACGAAAGAAATAATAAAGAAAAGGTTGACCCGTGTGGGGTTTGATCTCAAGTTTCAATGAAGTTAACAGTTATTCTAGCCTTTTTGAATATCTTTAAAGAGGAGGTAATGTTTTGTAGTGGGGTGATACCTTAAGTCATTATATTCGCAGTACTTTTTTAAACAGTGTGGATGAGAAGTAAAACATATATGTATTATACGTCTGTCAACTGGTAGCTCTAAGTAAATGCTGAATCTATTATATGTTTCAACATTATTTGCTGAAAAAAAGTTTAGATGGTGTGTTGACCTATGAACATTATAATTAAAATCATGCCATACCGGTTATCACCTTCATCTTGTCAGGATAAATACATCTCAGGAACTCGACAAAATCTTCATAATTCTTTCTAGGTAATAGTATCTCCGACTCTGTTCTCTCCCTGAAGTCACCTTCAAACATGGCACAACACACAGGTGAAGCGACACTGAGTACTGCCTAAGATACTAGTATTTTATGATTTTCAACAACAAATGTCGCATCTGCCAATTTGCCATCTTTGTGAAATTCGTCGTTAATATTCATCTCTGTAGACAAAAATTGACGTTTTCTTTCAAATATATATTTAAAAAAACACCCAAACAAGCTTTGATTAATTTACGTTTGTAGATTTAAATACTAGACGATGAACTTTTAAAGTAATTGATATATGAAGAAAAAAATACTATAAAATATAAACAAATAAAAGAACATGGCAGAGAAGTACAAGAACTCTTAAGAAAAAGAAAATGTTAACAGGTTTTGTGGTTGAGGAATTACCAATGTACATTTATGTCCGGTTTACTATGTCAATCAACCCCTTTTTTACATAGATATAGTGTGCCATTTGTTTTGAAATGTCCTTTAATTACACATACGATGACATACCTGCAAACCTCTGAACGGAGGTATTTACATTAAATGTTCAATGAAGTCTAATAAATAACTTTACTTTGCTTAAAAAAAACATCTCGAATTAAGAATTTTCTACATTATACATTAATTTTTTAGTTCCATTTGTATCACTTTTTGGTTTTCAAAAAAAAGAAGAAAAAAAAGAGAACAACAAAACAGAATGTTTACATAAGTTTTCCTACAAAACACTATAAGACAGTAACATTTAAACCAATGTTATGCACAAAGAGTACTACTGTTTTTGACACAATTTTTTATGATTTTATATCATAAATATGATGCTCAAATTAAGATTTATTTTTGTAAGTTCCAAAAAGCGTTATTCATAAAGATATATCTAAATTAAACATTTTCTGTATATAAAACGGAGGTAAGTTCTAAGTCGAATTTTTCAATAAGAAATGAATGCATGTAATTAAATGATTATATATAATATGTACAAATATTTGCAGTTCATATTTTACATTTTCTTCGATGTTCGAAAATTGTTTTATAAGCATAATTATTTCATATACATAATTTCAATTTAATATGGTATACAACCTCAATTACAACATACAGGATCTTTAATTACAGGCCTACCTTTAAACATGTTTATGCTTTCATGTTTAATTGTTTTGTTGGAGAATGATCAGTCCGATGAGAAAAGACTTGAAAAAAATCAATATATAACAGCTAGATTATGTACATATTCCTTTTCAATATATATCAATAGATAGGAATGATAATCATTCTTCAATTTAACATTAAGCTTATCTAAGATAACTGTGAAAGTAGTCGATTGACACGACCTTTAGAAACACGAAATATGTCGAAATATTCCGACTTTTCCGAGCCTTGCATGGGTCTGAGCAAAATTGTATAATGAATAGTTCGTTTTCAGGTGATTAAGTTTGAAAAACATTAATCAAGCTGTTATTAGTAACTATTTAAAAATGATAAACCATCGTTTTCAATAATATATTAAATATTAATAAAGACTTTTAAATGCATATTTTTATGCAATAAGTAAGTGATAAATATATAAACTTACCCGTTTTCTTCCTGTATGTTAAAGCTAAACTTAGATTCGTTTTCAGCTAGGTCAGATGTAACCGACGATGCGTATCTTCATATAATTTCAAATATTTAAAAGTCAACTTGATCTTTATGTCTGAATTCTGTATAAATAAATGTTATTTAGACATAAAATGTATTTACTGAATAAAATCAAAGGATTTGTGGGATGTAAAACATATTTAAACCAGTAGGTATTAACATGAAACCATATATGAAGGCCAAACTTAACAACCTTCTCTAAATTTGATTTAGTTATGCCACAATCTTTATCAAAACATAAAAATGTCTACAAATTATACATATCTTCAAAATCTCTAAAATAAGGTATTTACTTAAAACTTTGAATGTTACATGATAGGTCGTTAATAACCCTACTACGATATATTTTTACAATTTATCCATACGATAAACCGCATTTCGTAAATCATTTAACACATTTTAAATGGTGCATTTCTTTTAGTCTAAGTAATACTCATCTTTAAATTCTCATTCCTACTTTTTTATAGTATCACCTTGGTATCTTGCAATAAGTTGAAATAAATCTAAATTTATAGACCATATCTCAAATTGTTAAATTTAACACCAAGAATCAACTTTCCCACATTTAAATAATAAAAGAAATTCATAAGGGTTATTGCTTTTATTCTATTATTTAGTAAATACAAAATATATTTACGTTCGAATATGTATGTAGCTATCAGCTCGAACCTGTTCCTGAGCAATGGGTATTTGTTTCTTTAGGAAACAAATGCCTGTTCCTGACGGCGTTAGAACCTAGCAGCTACAGATTTTGAGCTTACATACGACGCGTCGATTATTAACGTTTTTGTTTTGTTCATAATTTGTTGATACAGTTTTGAAATGAAAGCCATTCTTTCCGATACATTTCAGGAAAATTTCCTGCTTTTCCGTTAAACAAAAGTTTTTATTAAGTTAAATTTCAATAAAAGTAAACTATCATGATGACATGATGACTGGCCGGCAATATATAAAATGAAAAAGATCAGTTATTGTCAGTTCGTTCTGCCTGCAAGACAATTCAAGTAAGAAAGCGTGTTATTTGCAATGACAAGCCATACACTTCACTTATTTTCTACTTGGTCAGCTATTTACATGCACTGTTTCCGAAAGTATTACATATATGTACCTAAATCTTCCAACATTGATTTGAAAGTAATCTTTATCTAACCAATACACAAACAAATAATCTATGAATCAGAATCAACCATACGTATCCAAAGTTTCAATAAACAAATTGAAGCCGAGAGCAGGTTAGCATAAATACAATCTGTATTGGTATATTTTCCAATAGAAAAAGGGTAAACTATGGCGAGTATGTCAGTGCGTGAGCATTGCCGAGCCGTTGCAATAGTGGCCCTATGAATTCTTTTATGTTTAATTATGTTAACATCGCAGTTTATTTCCGTTTGCTTAATTATGTAATGGCGGTGCTGAGCGATGATTGTGTGCATGTAAAAAGTCTAGGTGCACGTGCGTCTAGAATATATTTAGACAACATAAATTCACGTTTGCATTGTTTAGTGGTTAAACTAGCATGGTCTTTTACGGTACTCATTCTGACACAAATAATCAACCGAACATAATCTTTTGAATTTAATTAAATGTCAAGTTTGGAACAGTATTCTAAAAAAGATATTTTCCGTCTCTAATGTCAATGGGAAATTGTTCTCAAGCAGTCATCGCAGTACGAAAGGTCATGTAAACAAGTTACAATTTGGTTAACGCAGGGTTTATTTTTTTATTTTATTGAAATAAATTAGATACTCTAACTCCGGCGTTTTTTTCTTATTTTC